TAAGGAAGTACCAGTTAATAAAGACAACAGGCGACACTCCTATAGCGGAAGAATATTTTTGACATATCATACCCAAGGGACAATATTTACCATTATTTTCGTCTAAAGCGTCAGTCGGCCAAAAGTACAATTATAAATGATTATAGAATCTTTTGAACTTTGCAAAAAATGTATTTTGTATCTTACGCCAAAAAAGTCCTACCGAGTTTACAGTCGAGAACTTCTCATATTTTCTTAACTCTGGATTATGAACAGAATTAATATACATCAGCGAAGGCTGAGAGACTGTTTAGTACCTGAACCTGCTGATAGGTGTTGGAGAGCAACGCAATCATCATGTTCACGAGAAGAATAACTGCCATGATTAAGAAGAAGCTGTACAGCACATGAATAAGAGAAACGGATGAATCGTCGACGGAGTTCAACCTATCCAGGTCAGCTAAACCCAGTAAAGACCAACCAAGGTGTGTCGCCATGTTCCACCAACTGAAGAACATAAGCAACGAGTTAGATCAAAACACCATCGAATTTTTGAAATTGAGATTGTTATGACCGCCATAAATGTTTTTAAACGTCTGTGTCCTGGAGGCCATCGTGTCACTACTCCTACATGGATCATCTATTTCAAAATTTGCTTTCAAGATTCCTGGTCAGCTCAATTAAGTCAAACACCAACACATTTAAGTGTTGGTATCCAAAATATCACAAGATAACCTTAAACCTGAGGGATACCAGTGGTAAAAAGAAATAGCAACGATGAAGTCTGGATTTTTCCAGAAGGTGAAACCGTAAGGTATCTCTTAAGAAGGTAAACTAATAGCTGCGTCGGCCTTTTTGTAGGTTTAAGAGGCGAAGTAGCGTTAATTAATCGGACGCGAAGCCGAAAGAGGGATGGGGGGCAAAGAGGGTTTCTTCACTCGCAGCTGTGCTTCTTGTTCTAGTAAATCTGCTGCCATGAAAGGAAAGGGTGTCTTTCCTGCAAATTTTCGTGATGAGGCTGATAAAGCTCAGTGTTGAACATCAGTACTTATTTCAACACATCAGAATGATTTTTTTCTCACTTCTTTTCCTCTCGGGAGACCTTAATTAACCTTTCCGACCCCTCAGGTATAGAATTTCACGCTTGAAACTTTTTAAATAATCGCGGCATATTGAAAGCGCGAAATTCAAGGTTAGCAAAAATTTTGTGTAACTTGGTATATTTTAGACATCAGAGTAAAAAGTTAAAATTAGAGTGGAAAAAAACAACCATTTCATTCTTACCAAATTAGCCCGGAATCACTGCATGCCCTAAAAATAATAGGAGAAAATGAATGGTTAAAGAAACCGTTGCCATGGTTTACGGTTTAACCAACAGAAATTGTCAAAGTTACATAACCACCACCCCCCCTCCGAATTTTATTTTACACATTTGTGTTGTTCCAGAGAAATTGTTAACTAACAGTCCTGAACTTATACCTCCAGTGGCACAAAAATTCACGGTGTATAGCAAGTCACTGACTCCACAATTTATGACTACGACTGACCCAGCAATGATTGATGGGCATCAGGCTACCATAATTTGATTTCAAACCTTTTGTATTAGTGGCGCTACGAAGTGACTTATTTATTGAGGCCTGCGTGAGTATTCATAAAGACTGTAAAAAATCGGCCTTTCATGCAACGTTTGACATTCTGATCTGAGTAGTTTTACCCTCCTGTCAGGCTTCCCATCCAAAAAACTAAATCTCACTTGATTAGCTTTTAGCCCACTGTTTCCTACATTAGGTGCCTAGACATACATGAGGTTCCCCTCCATAATTTAAAAGGAAAACTCTTCCACCCCACTACTAAAAAGAGTAACAAATGAATAAGCCCAACAAGTTAGAATCTGTCACTCACGGTTTCGATACTTTAGAAAGATCGTACTATATACTCACAAATCCTCCGCGGAATCTTTTCCTGAGGTATAGGCCTTCTCAGCAACATATATCTTGGTCATAGCCAGAGAAAATGCTAGAATCATGGCCAAAAACTGCCAAAATATCGCCATTACATCCCAGATAACAAAGAACAAAGCGATTTGTATTGCACCCATTCCCCGCACGCGCTCTATGACTTGACCAAAGGCTCTTAGTGTGAGAAACATGGCGATAAATCCATAGAAATACTCTGACACAGCCAAGAGTGAGTTTTCTGACACGTCCGTGGAGTTCATCCATGTAATTATGCGCAGTACGAAGGTAATCAGGTAGAAAACAAGAATGATGAAGTCAAGCACATTCCAACGGTCACTATAAAAGTAGTAGATATCAGCACCAGAAGACCATTATCTATTTAAGAGAATCCGTGAACTGCTAGACCTTGCATAATCATGAGGCAAGATAATCAGTTCTTACAAGTACCACTATTTATTGTTACAATGAGTACGAGCTAATTAATGGTGTACTCAAACAATAAAATTGGGTTGCTGTCAATGAACCCAGGCAGTGAACCATGTCACCTCATGACTAATGATACAGCTCTAAAAAAATTACCCATGTACCTAAGCTGAGAACAGTGGCTCGTTTTGTTATCGTCTTCAAGCTGTAAACTCTTTTTCCCCATCCTTCCTAGCTGATCATGTCCCCAACATGAATGAGAATCTAGTATTGTCACTAGAAACAGAAAAGAAAACGCTGAAATACCTGAAATAATTACTAAGCTTCTTTAGCAAGATATTGTCTTCTTCTGCCTCATTTGTCTCTTGTTGACCCTCTTGTGAGCATTCTTGGTAGCTGGAGCCATCTCTTTTCCTCCTCCTACACAGCTTACATGCTTTCATTTCAGCCTTTTTAGGACTAATAAACTGATCCACCTCCATCAAAACGCGTCCCAGGAAGAAAACTAAAATGGCCCATTCTAGTCGACTGAAGGCAATTGTTGAAGGGGACAGGCAAATGGCGAAGTGAAGAACGAGGAGGATGAGATAACTCAGCGTGTCGCGGAAAAAGACGAAATAAGGAGTCGTAAAGTAATCCTTGTATTTCTCTGGAAGACATCATAGTAATCATAGTTATACTCGATAGGACAATGATTGAGACGCGAGCTTAGAATGGAGACCATCAAAAGAAAACTCTGGAAGCACTGACGGTCCGACGAAAGTTATTTAGAAAAAGAAAAGTTTAACGATCTGGAAATCTAGCTACCAAAAATAGCCTGTCCTCACCATAGATGTTCTTTCCCTCGATACCTGTAAGAAAGTAAAACATATC